AATCACTAACCATGCATTATGATTTTATAAGAGTAGGTAGTCAATTCAACATGTGTTTATATAGGTCAGACTCACTTTAAGAGATGTACTTTTCTAGCACCTCTCCTGCTCCTCTCTCATTCTGTTCTTTAATTTATCCCCAGATATTCAGGAGCTCTCCACTTTTTTTTCACTATTTACCTTGTTCCCACTGTTCATCCTGTATATTGGATAATTGCCCTAAAGGTGCTCAACCTACTATTTGGACCATGTGCTCTAACCAGTAGAAGTTTACTCAGTAGTCAATGGGAAGTATTTAAAGTCAAGATTCTCACTGATATTCCAAAATGCATGGTTGTTGAACCTCAAAGAAGACAAGAAGGATGGTCTGTGTCTCAATCCTCCGGGGCCTTACCTGGAATCTGGTCCAGCCTATCTCCCTGATCTTCTCTCCTACCTCTCTCTTCCTCCCATGGGTTGCCAAAGCCACCCTGACCTGCTTTTGGTCCCTTGAACCAGACAAGCTTGGTTCTGTCTCAGGTGCTTTGCACTGGTTCTTCCTTCTCTCTGGAACCTCTTTTCTAGGTCTTTGCAAGACTCTTCTTATCATCTATGTATCAGCCTCAAAATCACCTTCTCACAGGGGCTTTTCTTAACAGCCATCGTCCCCAAGGTGTCCCTTGCCCCTAGTCATTCTTGATCCTACTACTCTTTTTTAATTTCTTCCTAGCATTTACTTCTCCAGGGAAGTATCTTATGTTTGCAGTCTCTCTCTGTCTCCCACTTACTACCCACTACAGTGTAAGTCTCAGAGGGTACATCTTTGCCACTTTGTCGGCTCCCATTACTGTAGTACCTAGAACAGTGCCTGGGACATGGTAGTAGAAGCACAATGACACTTTGTGGAATGAATGGATGGACACAGCTCTTTCCCGCTCATACGGCTGGAGGCAGGGGCATGTATCCTCGGCTCTGTGGAGCTGAGGATTGTGTGCCTTGTTCTTGCAAGTCCAAGTCCACCCAAACATCTGTAGAAAATGCACCTCTCATGGGAAAGAGGCATACACTGAAGAATCCCAATTTAGGACAGAAGGAGGAAACAGAACAAGAGACAGAGCTAAGCAAAAGAAATCTGGTTAAAAGCGGAGTGGAGTAGGGCTTCAGGTGTAATCCTATATAATAAAAGTCTAATATGCTAAGTGTCAGCTGTTCAACCAATCAAAGCATAATATGCTAATGATATGCTAAGGCTGCTCAACAGCTCACTATAATGTGCACTGACCACCAGGGGGCAGATGCTCTGACCGGTAGGTTAGCTTGCTGCTGGGGTCTGGCCGATCGGGACTGAGCAAGATGGGCCTGACATGCCCTGGAGCCCTCCCGCGGCCCCTCCCCGGCTGGCCAACCCTCCCCATCCTGCAACCCTCCCCCTCCTGCATCCTTCCCCAGTTCTGATCGTGCACTGGTGGCGTCTCTGGCCTGGCCTGCACCCTCTCTCAATATGTGACCTCTTAGGGGATGTCAGAAAGCAGGTTTTAGCCTGATCCCGAAGGCCAGGCCCAGGGACCCCCACTGGTACACGAATTCGTGCACCGGGCCTCTAGTGTATAGAATATTGAAGTTGAACAGGTAGCCATGGTAATGCAGTTGTGACTTTGCCACAAACTCCCTAAGTGGCCTTGGGTCTGCCATTGCTCTACTCTGAGCCACACTTACAAAAAAGAGGAAGCTGGAAATCTCTTTGGTCCTTTCTAGTGACAATTCATTATAAAGGGAGGCCTAGGAGAGTATACTCGGTGCTAATGGTGAGTATTAAGGGACTGCAGTGTGGTAGTTCCACCCAGAAGTAAGAAATGAGGTCAATAAGGTTTACCTTTAAGAATCAGTATCACTAATCAGAGGCCAGATATGCTGGGCTATCTGAGGGATAAGCTGGGGCTTCTAGGCCAGCAAACCCCCAGCAGTTGCCAATTTCAACATATTAACATGTCTGAAGAAAAAAAAAAGTGTCAATTAGGGGAGTGCAGGGTATTCTCTAACCTTGGAAAGGAGAGGCCAGGACTGGCTGGGCCCTCTTACATGTGGTCAAGGAGAAGAGCCTTCACCCTCAGAGCTTCCCTCCCCAGAGAAAGGCTGGCCTCAGTGCCAGATGAGCACTGTAGCTAACAGGCTCTGAGCATTTTCAGAAGAATGGAGGACAGTGGTTGAATTCAGACTGTTCATTGCTGGCTTCAAACCTTGACTACCACTTGCTAGCTACATGACTAGTATTGTAGGAGGCAAGTTCTTAAACAAGTATCCCCCGTTTCTTACTGTGTAATGGGAGTGATGATAATGGCAAGTATCCCCAAAAATTTCTGGAAGGATACAGTACTATGTGTAAAGCACTTAGAACAGGGGTCTGTTATTATACTTTCATTGGCAAAGCCATCCTCTGGCTATCACGCATGTCGCCGGTTTAATATCAAATATCTGTCTTCCCTCCTTCTGATGCTACTTTCAACAAGCAACCTACTCCTTCCCATGTGGGTTTGCTTACACAGAAAAAAAGTGCTTATCACAGAGCTTCTGAGAAATTCCCGTTGCAGAGCCTGCAATATCTTATGGCAGAACTGATACATTATCTCTAGTTACGCCTGGGCCTCGCAATTTGCTGGACCACAGAGGCAAAAGGCACAGGGTGTGACAGCAGAACTGATACATTATCTCTAGTTACGCCTGGGCCTGGCAAAACGTACAGGGTGTGACGCGAATGGAGGGTTTGGGGCCAGAGGCAGATCAGTTTTGATTTCTAAGCCATCCCAGTGGCATTCTGGTACCCATCTCCACCTTAGTCTGCTGGGGTTACAACGCAGACACTTCAATTTCCTGGAGAGTGATGCGTGTGACTCCTCAGTCCCCAAGGCAGAGGACAGTCCTCGCTGCTTTCCCACCCAGCAGTGGTGTCACCTGTATCAGCTCCCTGTCTGATCCTGTGTACAGAAGCTGCAGGCCCTGCCTTGGGAACCTTCATAGATGAGAATTAAAAAGCTTTGGGGAAACTGGTGGGTGAAAACTATAGAAAAGAAGAAGCATTAATCCAAGGGCCCCACTGATCTGTCTGCAGTGACTTTCCCTGCTCCTCCTCGTCCACAAAAAAAAAAAAAAAAAAAAAAAATCCAAATGTTTTCATTTCCTTCGGGGACCCTCCTGGAATACCATCCACCCTTTAGGGGTTTGTCTGAGTTTTTAAGCGTTCTCCATTAAAAGTGTGAGTCATTCTGGAAGGGTTAGAGAACTTTCAGTGATGATACACATCAGTGGAAATGTGTTCAATATTTCTTTCCTCCTGACATCTTGCTGGATTGGGTTTACCTTTAGGAATTCGCAGCTTTTTGAGTTTGTTTATGGAGAGAGGGGAGAGGGAGGTGAGAAGGGGAGGTAAAGGAGAAGAGAAATCCTTGGAGAGGCCCAGGAGATCTGCTCAGTGTGGGGATAGACCTGAGAGGCTGAAGGACCAGGAGGACTCTGGGAGGTTGAGCTATGACATGGGTTATGTTGGCATTTCCGAGTCGACCTGGGAAGGTAACCAACAATTATAATATTGTTCCCCTGGAAAATGCGGCTTGAGCTCTAAATAAGCAACTCGGAAAGAAACTTCTGAGATACAACCCACTGCACCTGAGTTCTTAAACGGGGGCTTCCTAGTATAAATCTTGGGAAGAAAGTCCAGGAAGCACGTGATGTGACATTAGGGGCTGGGGGTGAAGGGTAGGCGAGAGGCACGGAGCATATAATGTGTGAGAGCTGGAAGAATATTTGTCCCTGGGTCTGGGGCAGGCCGTGACCTGCTGAACAACCCGGCCAGCAGATACCTCTCCAGAGACCCGGCAGGAGGATGTCCTGCATTGAAGGAGAGGAAGTTTGGGGGAATTGGGTTATGCTGACGTTTCATTCTGGGTTCTTGGGACAGCCTTCCCTCTCCACTCTCAGAGGACTCCTCTGCCTGAGTCCACCAGGGAGTCCCTGAGAAGGAGTGACAGGTAAGAACTCAGCGGGCGAAGCCATGCCTTGGTTTGAGGGTTGGGACTGAGGGACAATGCCAGGGAGGGTGTGAAAGGGAAGGGGGCTCAGGCACATCCTCCAGCGAGGGGACCACGGAGGGACTCGCAGACCCAGCAAAAGTGCGGGTGGAAGCCCGTGGGGAAGGGCGAGTCCAGAGGAGAGGGCTGCGCGGGGTGGAGAGCAGGCGCCAGGGAAGCTGTCCCTGCGGCAACGTGCGCCCGGAGGAGGGAGGCGGGGAGGGTGGGAGCCCAGGGGCT